ACATGAACATGAATAACATGAACTTATTCATGTTGTTTGTACACAGAGCGGGCGTGCGGTGTACTTGTGTGTTGCAGATGAGCATTTGAACGGCATTTACAGCAAGTTATCGGCAATAATAGGCGAACTAGAGTAGAGAAACATTAAGACTGTTCCTGTCCGTTCCTGTCCGTTCCTGTCCGTGCCTATCAATGCCCCATTTTCGCAAACATTTCTACCGCTGTTCAAAGACATCATAACGTGTATCAAGACGTAACGAGTAAAACATACCAGATACCGGTGTTCGACGGAAAAGGTGTGCCTGGTTGAACAGGAAATCATCTAGTTTGTCCAAGAAGGTCTTATCGAATTTGGATTACACCCAATGTAAGTTAAAATTTAAATAGGCAGGGACATTGTAAATAACCAATGATAATTGCGCGGGTGCATGGATATACACTAATCGTTAACCCATTAACATTAATCGTTGTTTGTGTGTTAATTGGTAAATGGGTATTTGGTTTAATGAGGAAACCGATGTTGTTTCCTGCAAAACTCTATAAACTGTATACAATTACTGTATTATATAATAGTGTCGTAGATCTAAGTTAATGCGGTTGTATAATATGTCTAAACCTATACAACATACGGATGGCTACCGATCAATCGCAATCTGTTTTCTACATTCTGACATGGCGTACGACATTGCACCTAAAACGTATAAGATGTCAGGCTATCAGTCACTCGTTACGAAACGCGTGCACCTACTACTGAAACTGAAGCCATACTGAAACTTTAGGCCGCACAGCAGCTAGCTTAGAAGCACTAAAGGCTCTCCGCTAGAAAATTAGATGTCGTGAATGGTCGGTCGGTCGCGAGATCGATGATTGCTGTTGCTAGGAAAGTCAGGAAAGATTGTCGTCGAATGGTCGGAGATCTGCTGCGCCTCTCATTATCCCGTGCGTCCATCCATAGATGTAGAATACAGAGGTCTGAGGAAAACAGAGAATCTGAGGTCACTGACCTGTTAGGGAAGATCGAAAGTTGTTGGCTGTCGATGCTCCGGTTTTTGTTGTTTCCTTAGCTCGCTTAATCATGATCAGTGTGTTGGTAAAAGGTTTTAGAATGCATGTGTCCGCGACGCTCGCGTGTCAGAGAGAGAGAGAGAGAGAGGGGGGGAGAGAGAGCTAGAGAGAGGGAGAGAGGGGAGATAGAGAAGAGACGGGGAGAGAGAGGGAGAGAGAGAGCTAGAGAGAGGGGAGATATGGGAAAGAGGGAGAGAGCGCGCGAGAGAGAGAGGGGAGAGAAAGGGAGAGAGAGAGAGAGGGCTAGCAGAGAGGAGAGAGGCGAACTAGAGTGAGAGAGAGCGAGGGAGAGAGGGGAGAGTACTGAGGGAAGAGAGGAGGAGATGACAAGGAAAGACAGAGGCGCGCGAGACAGAGAGGGAGAGAGAGGGAGAGGAGAGATGGAGAAGAGGCGAGGACAAACGGGAAGGAGAGACGCGCGAAGAGACGAGAGGGGAGAGGAGAGGGAGAGAGAAGCTAGAGAGAGAACAGAGATGGGCGAGGGAGAAAGCAGAGAGTTAGAGAGAGAGAGAGAGAGAGAGAGGGAGAAGAGAGAAGAGCGCTCGAGAGCACGAGAGGCAGCGAGAGAGAGGGAGAGAGTGAGAGGAGAGAGAGAAGAGCGAGACAGAGGGAGGAGAGAAATGGGAAAGGGGGAGAGAGAAAGAAAATAGAGAGCAAGAAAGAGAGAGAGAGAGACAAAGAGAGAATAAGATACAGAGAATAAAACAGAGAGCGGAAGACCGACTTATTTTATAAAGCCGTTGTAAAAGTTTCGTTCGGTTAACGGATCCGACGCATTTCTTGTGTAATCTTCTCAGATTTGTATTTACTTTATTAAATGTGCAAAGCTCGTCACCCAGCCATTTCCTTTAAAAAGCCCCATCTATGGTCAGTGGCTCTTCAAGCGCAAGTTAAGCAGTTCAATCTGAGATGCGATATAGGAGGAGGGTAAGGGAGGGACGGGAGGAGGGTAAGGGAGGAAGTGTAGATGGGAGGCAAGTACAAAGTTCTCCGTTAGCAGCAACTGTCCGAGACAGCTTCGAAAGAGCTTTTATGTTTTGTAAGAAAACCAAAGGCATACGTTTCATGTGGATTTGGTGTTGTCGTCGTCGTGCATGGAACTATTGTAGACATAGATGATACTGTGTCTTGTGTCATGTAGATGTAATAACAGTAACTATAGGCGTACATGGAGATTTATATTATGCACGTGCGTCTCGTTGTGAGCGGCTGCGTGCGTGCGTGAGTGCGTGGGTGCAAGTGACTGTGTTAGAGTGTGTGATCGCGAGTGTGTGTGTGTGTGTGTGTGAGTGCGTGTGAGTGTGCGTGATTATTACGCGCAAGACGGATACATGTGGGACAGTATTATAACAGCAATATATAAACACCTGCACTTATCCATCCATCAGGAACATTACAAAAATGTTTAAATTCGGCATCTCTCATTACGATAATGCGTAATTAATTACATTAAGCTACGTTATTCACGATTCGAAACGTTCTAACCTCAGGTGTGTGAAGGGCAAAACAATCGTCACACTGATACACGATTTTTAATATGAAGTAATTACGTATAAGTGTACGCTATATATACGCTACACTCTGTGGTGATAGCATGCACGGACGTTCTAATTGTTCTTTATAATCATCGTGAATACGTGGATGTCGTGTTAAGATATGTTTTTAATTCATTTTAAATATAGTTAATAACCAACAGGATACATATTTACCAGTGATTGCGATGCCGAGTATTATTGTCGACCAAAGACGTATAAGACTTTTTGTATATAACGTAAATCTGAGCCATTATTGTAGCTTCAAGTTCCGACAGGTGTAACATAAGAAACAATCATGATAGTAATATATTATAACAATTATTTATTCTAAAAGTTCGTAAAAGTGTGCGTTTCATATCAAAGGTTTGCTCAAACGTTCACTTGTTTTAGAAGTTACCCGAGTTGTACCCTTCGTTTCACATCCTGTCAATAAAAACTTAAAACACATAATCTTTGCTCGCGTTCATTGTTGCACTTGACTCTTAGTTACAGCAACCATGAAACAGTATCGAGTTTTACCACTGGAAACACAAGTTTGGCAAAGCCCCAATCTTTAGCTCAACATTTCTGAGCCGTGAATGGATGATGTATTTCAACTGAACACTGTGTGGTATATTTCAATATATTTATAGCTATATTTCACGTCTTGTGTTCAAACGGCAATATCTGGAATATTGATGCCAACCGTTTTTGGATTGGTAAACTAAAGCATGCTTGATGATTTGGCTATCTCGAGGTGCACCATAGACTTTGCCCAAAATTCTTATCCAGGGTCTGCCCATATACTGTAACATCCCGTGTGACGATAATCTAGTGTGATGTATTCACATAGATTTATTGTAAAATAATAAGTATAACAAACACAACGGACAATTCAGTGTCATCATTTCTCCGGTCCTTCGCTATTCCGCCGCTCTATCCTCCGCTCTATCCTCCGGAGATAACAACTAGCGCCATCTAGTATGGACAATATTAATATAATGAAACAATACATTACACCTAGGTTGCCAAAATTTAACGCCAAAGTATAATTTGTATATTATTACCACAAAATATGGGACAATGCTTATTTGATAAAGAATAAATGGTAAATTATGTGCACTAAATTAGGATATAAAATACAAATTCCTTCTTACAAAATTTTCAAACAACGACCGGGGATTTCTACTGAAAAAGTAGCATGTTCAACTGCCTCGGAAGGCATCTCTAATTATATCATTGAAGTCAATGGTCAACGTTCATATGTTTAGTAAATAACTTGTCTCATTCGGTTTCGAATATTCCAATTTCCGATTAGAAAATTCTTTTATTTATATTTTTTGTTATTTCTCGACAACCCGCATGTTAAATAGTTTATCCACCTGTTCCACACTGAAAGACGACACGTCATATCACTGGTAGCTTGTCATCACACGATAGTCATTTTTCACAACCAATGAGGTATAAGGGGAATCTAACGTCAAATGAAGGCTAGGCTGACCGGTGCTTACAAACTTGTTCACTGGTTCACTGTCTAGGTAATTACGGTAGTCCACGTTTTCGTATCAGATACATTTGAATTTTTGAGGACAAAAATTTATGGTATAGAACATACTAATTTTTGTGTAGGAGTTTGACAAGCTATGCCTATGGCTTAATTCATAGCTAGTGACGGGAATTTTAGATTGCTGCCGCGAGTGCAATTCGTTTAGGATAATGCACGCTTAGGAAATGCGTTTACTGTGGAAAACAATTGCAATTGAACGAGTGATGGAGAAGTTATTGCATGTTCAACATGTACCCCTTCGTTTACACGTTGTCAAACAGAAAAAATACAACAATCTGCATTTTCATGATAATTTTTTTTATTTCATATTAATCAAGAACATCAGTACCAAAATACTCATTTCATTCACGCACAATTATCTGCTTCCAAACAAAATTAAAACTGCGCATCTTGGACTTTTAGTGGAGAGTTATACAGAGTACACCCAATTCCTCAACTGTCACACATCTATAAAAACAGTTTGGCACGTATAATTGCGAATAGGCAAGCACCGGTAACAAATATAACATGTACTATCTAAGAAATGTACATGTGTACTATCTAAGAAATGTACATGTGTACTATCTAAGAAATGTACATGTGTACTATCTAAGAAATATGAATTTGCACTAATGAAGAAATGTGAACGTGTAGGGCCTACTTCTGAAAATGTGTGCACCATTTATACCAACTACGCGCGGTTACTTTACGAAATTATACGTCAATCGTGTACGAAATGTGCGCGTGTACTACGTACGAAGTGCGTGCATGCACTACGTACGGAGTGCGCGCGTGTACTACGTACGAAGTGCGTGCATGCACTACGTACAGAGGGCGCGCGTGTACTACGTACGGAGTGCGTGCATGCACTGCGTGCGGAGTGTGCGCGTGTACAATGTACGGAGTGCGTGCATGCACTACGTACGGAGTGCGTGCATGCACTGCGTGCGGAGTGTGCGCGTGTACAATGTACGGAGTGTCCGCGGCGTCTAGGTACGAAGTGTGTCGATGGCTCTCATAAGAATCGCGGGCAGGGTCGCTGGCAGTGTTTCCTTCGTCAGACCAAGCTCCATTCCGAAGGTGGCACTTGAGCGACCGGTAGTGACGACGACGTTAAACGTAGTCATGTAGACGTTATCACGTACTTTCTTGGCAGCATCAACTGTAGCCTGATCAGAAACAAACAAAAAACCGTAAATGCGTCTGAATACGCATGCGCAATTTCGTGAGCTGGCGGTCGGTCCCCTGTTTGTTTTTTTATGTGTGTGTGTGTGTGTGTGTGTGTGTGTGTGTGTGTGTGTGTGTGTGTGTGTGTTTGTGTCTGCGTGAGTGTCTGCGTTCGTGCGTGGGTTGTGTGTGTGCATGCATGCGTACATGTATGTACGTGCTAGCAAGTGCCTATAATTCTTACCGATGAGAAAACCATGGACAGTTGTCCTGTTGGTATGCTCAGTATCCACTTGTTATTTTCATACAGATCAGTGTAAGCGGCCTTCGCGCTACTGTATGCTGGACACACTGTTAATCAAACATAACAACGATATATAAATACACATATAGGCCTATATGTACATGTAGAAGACTACATCTAATAATTTACTGATATATTACTTCTTACATTATTATATTAAGAGAAAATAAATAACTTGATTGCATCTTGCATCTTGCATGCTGGGGTAGAGTGGAGCTTGGCAGTGATTGGATAAGAGAGTTATATATAAAGACCTGGAGCGCATTTGAAGGGGATAGGACGGTTGGAACTGAAAGACAGGACGACGAGACGACGACTGTTGTTTGTAAACAATATATTTCTTTAGTTGAACACAAATTCTATAATTCGTCTTGATTATTTCTACTCTAAATTATTACATACAAACTACGTTATTACAGTGAAACCACTACAAATTTCGCCGTTCTATACTTCCCAGCAAAACGATTGCAAGACGTTGGCAAAGAAAAATGGCAAAGAATGGTCGGACGTATACGTCATCTGCCACGCGTAGCCTACGAATCTACGAAGATTCTTTTACCTAAACACCGGAAAAATTACCTGATTCAATATCAATCTGCGTGTATGGAGAAACACATGGGCATTCATTGGCGTAATATAGGCAAGATGTCTTTCTTTCTTCATTGTCGGCTACACTATCGCAGGTTGGACTTGGAAGGTTCTGTACAGTTGCTTGTCTGCGACGACGACGTTTCCCAAAGAGTCCTGGCAACAGTGAACGAAATATGAATGGCAAATGGATTATGCTGCCGTATATGTGCGTACGGCAGTGATGAGCATTGCAGTGAGCAGAGAGGCGTGAAAAATTTACGCTATAGACATTTAGTTGAAATATTGAGGAGTTATTGAACTTTTTTATATCATTCCATATACTTCCTATAGAAGGTGTAAACCCAGCTTTAATTACATGCGCGTCGTTTAGTAGTTAGCAGTATAATGAATGCACGTCGTGTCTGCTAAAGGCTGCTCGGTTTTTGCTTGATTTCGTATGACGTTGTTAGTGGAATTTTTCATCATATCTTGTAAGCCGCTCTTGTGCATATTTGCTCCGCAGAAACGTGATAGTAGTTTCTAATATCAGCATGAAAGATTTTACCTCCAAAGAAATCCCCGACGTTACTGCCAACATCTCCAAGCCCGCGTCCTATGTCTCCGCCGAAGTCAGCGATGCCACCGCCAATGTCTCCAAGCGTGTCACCAATATCAAAGTCAAAAACGTCAGTGAACGAATCGCCAATGTCCGAAAATTTATCTAGGTCGCCCAAATCTAACAGAAATAATCAGAATTCATTCACATGAACAGAAATTGAAAAAAACGGATTATAGTGCCGTACGTAAGTAACACCAGTGTACTAGGTCTGGTTATGCTGTCTTAGCACACGTTTGTCATTTCACGTCACCAAAACACCGTTGTTATGGTATTTAACTATAACACCATCGTTATTGTTGGCGTGAAGCTCTTCCTTACCAGTACAGCGCTCAAAATGAGCTCTGTTAACAAAATACGCAATTACGCTGATAACGATTAAAACTATATCATTTGTTTCATATTTTCCCACTGCAGAATAGAATATCTAACGATGACAATCACGCGCGCCTGTGTGTATGTGTATGTGTGTATACGTGCAACCAATCTCTGCGCAGGTAGGAGCACGGCTGGGCAGGGCGTCTAGCACTGCAACGACGCGGCCAGGTACGCTCGTTACAGTGATGATCGTGACAAGGTAAACAGGGACATCTATTATCAGCGAATACTCACGGGAGACCGGAGCGTCAACAACGAATACAAAAGCGGGCTACCCACGGGAAAAGGGGACGCCAGTAACGCATACAGGTGAATACGGGATAGCTACGGATGAAGAAGCATTAACAACGCGTACATGCGAATACGGGATAACTACGGTAGAGGAAGCGTGAACGACGCGTACATGCGAATACGGGATAACTACGGGAGAGGAAGGGTCAACAACGCATCAGGCGAATAGGATAGTCCTACAATAGGTACAGTGATCTGGATGCTCAGTAGCTGAAGAATCTGTAGGATTAGTCTGCATTTGAATACGCACACATTTATAAAGACTCAGCAGATTCTACGATTTTACCTTTCAATAAAAAAACACCTGATGTGCGCGAGGCAATCAAATTGCAACACCATATAATTATAAGACATACGTAGAGACGCTCTAGCACACACACACACACACACACACACACACACACACACACACACACACACACACACACACACACACACACACACACAC